TATTAGAATAAGAACAAGAGTAAGACCACCAGCCCACCTGCAAGCCTGCACTGTAGGGCTGTGGGCGGTTCCGGCAAGAGCCGCAGTGGGCAGACCTGAGCGCGTTCATGGAAAAGGACAGGGGTCCTGTCAGTTGGGGGCTGTGCACTTGGCAGTTCGGGGATAGCACGTGCAGCGGAGAATGCTGCTGAGAGTCTGTGGCTGGTGTAACCCCTGCCTGAACCGCTCACTCATCCTGGGACCTGGGACGAGTCACTAACTCACTGACTTCCTTCTCCTCCTTTCCAAAATGGAAAGAATTGACAGGATGTGCATTTTTCAAAGAGTATGTTTTGTTTTTAGCTGTGGGACGCTTTCCCCCAAGAAAGGCTCATCTGGAAGCTCAGAAAATGAAGCAGACGAGGGGCAGTTTCTTCGGTGCAAGTTGGGGTGGAACCCAGAATCAACCCTACACCCCTAGTCCCTCACCAAGCCCTGAAAAGCCTGACTGCTGTATATGAGCTTCAAAACACCCAGACTAGATGATCTAAAGGCCCCCCAAGTTCCACACCCTCTTGGTCTGTGTGCTTAAAGGAAGGGAACACGGGGTGTCCAGAGGCTCCTGTTTGCAAGGGATGTTTGACTGCTAAAGGCAATTTTGTCTTGACCCCAGAGGTTGGATTTTAGGAAGCCTAAAAACACTTAGCAAGGCATCCGCAGTGTTGGCTTATTTTGAAAGGCTTAATGCATGCCGTTGTTTTTGCTGCATCCTGAAAATGCCTAAACTAGACTTACCTCTTGAGTTTGGAACAGGGTGGAAAGATTTTTGTTTTGACTTTCGATTGTATGTGTAAAATTGTCATGTCTGTAGTTAGAGACTTGTCCAACTCCCTTTGGATTTTCAAAGGAAAGTTGAAAGTGGGCAGAGACAAACCATTAAGACTTTCAAAAGTCAAAGACTTTGACTCTCAAGGAAAGTCTTTGGAATAATTAGTCTGCATGAGACCATAAGTAAATGGTTGCTTGCATTAGAGACTAAGTATGAATGTTTTACTGTCAGTAAACTGTGAAGTAGGTGGGATCATACAGAATGTTAAATGAAATTTACAGTTCCCCAAACTAAGCTGCGAAGTTGAATCAGAGCCAGTGGTTTGAAGAGGCGTTCTCATCCTTGTTGAAATGTGGCGTATTTTCTCTTCCCACTAACTTTGAATGTAGCTTCCAAAGAGGTGGAGGACCAGCGCGGGAGTCATACACACGGTGGAAGGTATAGGTGAGATGGAGCGATGTAGTAGCATTGCCAGGGCAGGTATGTGTCTTTTGGATGTTTATTCAGTTTTCTTATGCTCCAACAACAAAAAATGCTGCTTTCCGTGTATAGCACAGTCATTAAATGTCCTCCTTCATTCCCTAGGGGTGAAGCTACGTGTGAATGAATACTTTGCGCTTACTGTGCTCGTATATCACTTATGGGCCAAGTGGTAATTAGTGTAGAAATTATAAAAATCCAGACTCTAGCAGGGCGCCTGGGAGGCTCAGTCAGTTAAGCGACCGACTTCGGCTCAGGTCATGATGTCGCGGTTCGTGGGTTCGAGCCCTGAGTCGGGTTCTGGGCTGACAGTTCAGAGCCTGGAGCCTGGTTTGGATTCCGTCTCCCTCTTTCTCTGCCCCTCCCCTGCTTGCGCTCTGTCTCTGCCTCTCAAAAATAAACAAACATTAAAAAAATTTTTTTTTTAAAAATCCAGACTCTAGTAAATCATTATGATTTAACCTAATCTTTGATCCTCTTGCCATGAAAGCAGGGTAGGATCTCTTCATTCTGCAATAATTCTCTTCCATTCAGACTGTATCTTCACCACTTTTTCAAAGGCACAGAAAGATCAGATTTCCCCACTTCCTACAGCTTATTTGTATCAAATGAGTCACTGAAGAGAAATGCCTGTTGCGTTTGTAGGGGATACAGAATACCTTTTAATCCCCTGTTTCCCAGCTAGGCAGGTGGGTGTGAGAGTCAACGCAGACGAAATGCAAAGGGGGTGAGGAGATAACAAGTCCCTTGCTGTCAACTCCTTAGCTCTGGGTGGACAACAGAGAATTCTGTTCCTACTTTTTGCCTCTTTGTTTGAAAAGGTTTGCATGCAACAGCAGATGTGGGCGAGGATGCGGAGAAAGAGGATCTCTTTTGCGCTGTTGGTGGCAATGCAAGCTGGTGCAGCCACTCTGGAAAACAGTATGGAGGTTCCTCAAAAAGCTAAAAATACAACCACCCGACGACCCAGCAATTGCACTACTAGGCATTTATCCACGGGATACAGGTGTGCTGTTTCGAAGGGACACATGCACCCCCATGTTTATAGCAGCACTATCGACAATAGCCAAAGTACGGAAAGAGCCCAAATGTCTCTCGATGGATGAATGGATAAAGAAGATGTGGTATATATATATACAACGGAGTATTACTCGGCAATCAAAAAGAGTGAAATCTTGCCATTTGCAACTATGTGGATGGAACTGGAGGGTATTATGCTAAGTGAAATTAGTCAAAGACAAAAATATGACTTCACTCATATGAGGACTTTAAGAGGCAAAACAGATGAACATAAGGGAAGGGAAACAACAAATAATATAAAAACAGGGAGGGGGACAAAACAGAAGAGACTTACAAATATGGAGAACAAACTGAGCATTGCTGGAGGGGTTGTGCAGGGGGGATGGGCTAAATGGGTCAGAGGCACTAAGGAATCTACTGAAATCATTGTTGCACGATACGCTAACTAATTTGGATGTAAATTTTAAAAAGTAAAAAATAAAATACAATAAAAAAGGAAGAACTCCACTGAAATATTTGTAACCTTAATAAATTGAATATTTCTTTCTTAAGAAAAAAAAAGAAAAGGTTTGCATGGACAACATCCTTGATTTTGGTTAGGTGGTAATTGTGGATTTTTTCAGCAGGACAATGGGGAGAAGGCTGAAAGAAGTTCAGACTGAGTCATTGCATCACATCTCACTATGGTCCCTGATCTTCTGCCTACACGTGGTCTTGAGAAAAATTACTTTCTCTCTTGGCTTCATTTTCTCATCTGTTAAAGAGGAATTAGTAACACCCATCTTCTAAGTCCTTACCTTCTAAGGTTGCTGTGAGGAAAATAAGAGAGGCACGTGAGAAATGCTTATCATAGTCCCTGGGACAGAATAGCCATTAGGAAGATAGTGGCCCCGGGGCGCCTGGGTGGCGCAGTCGGTTAAGCGTCCAACTTCAGCCAGGTCACGATCTCGCGGTCCGTGAGTTCGAGCCCCGCGTCGGGCTCTGGGCTGATGGCTCAGAGCCTGGAGCCTGTTTCCGATTCTGTGTCTCCCTCTCTCTCTGCCCCTCGCCCATTCATGCTCTGTCTCTCTCTGTCCCAAAAATAAATAAACGTTGAAAAAAAAATTTTTTTTAATTAAAAAAAAAAAAAAAAAGGAAGATAGCGGCCCCATTTCGGGGTCATGGCAGCAGATGTTAGGAGGCATCGTCACGCAGTGATTGGGATAAGCAGAAGGTCAGGTGACGGAGCCCCCCGTACTAACTACCCTGTCCCATCCAGTGTATTGTTTCATGTGGGGACTCCAGTGTCTGTGTGCTGGAGATTTTGTCTCAAATCCTTTTTGACAAATAGTGGCCCCCCCCCCAAAAAAAAAGGAATAAAGAAAGGGAAAATAAAAAGAGAAAAAGAAAGAGAGGGAGGATGGAGGAGAGAGAAAGGAGAGAAGAAAAAGCTGACAGAAAATATGGGCAAACTCTGTCAGCTCTCACGTCTTCTGATGTAGATAGACCAGGAGATAGACCAGGTTATTAGTGGCCCGCTTTCTAGATTTAGAAGACAGCTTGGTGATTTGCCCAGGATCGTTGGTGAGTTAGCAATAGAGCCAGGTCGAGCCTTTGGGTCTTCTGCCTCCCCCTGGTCTAGTGAGTGTTGATTGGCAACTCCAACCTGAACATGGAAGGCTAATGGGCATAAGGTGTGGGGAGCAGTCTGCCATGTTGGTTCTCCCCTCACCGCAGCCCTAGCGGAGACCAGCGCTAGCCATCGGCTGGGTCTCTTTGTGAATGAGATTAGTTCAGGAGAATCTCATGAAAACAGAAGATGGCTCAGAAAAATGATTCTTTCAACATCAATAATAAGAATGTCCCTCCTCCCTGTCCCCCGTTCCCCACCACACACATTTTTCCATATTTAGACTTTTTGCAAACAAGCATTAGCAGCCGTTGGGTATATGCTAACTCTTCTAGTGCTAAACTCGTGTTTTGGATCAACCCTTCATAATTTCAGGTGTGGAGATGGCTTGGCATTTTCTCTGATGTAACGATCCCTCCCTGAGCTGTTTTAGGATTTGTGAGGAAACTTTTAGCATCCAGAGCGTGGCCTCTGATTCAGAATCCTTGTGCCCAAGCCCCAGCTGTGTCTCTCACGGTGGGGGGGAGTGACCTTGGACAATTTCTTTAACTTCTCTCGGCTTCAGTTGCCTCATCTTTGAGATGGAGATGGTAACGGGCCCTGCCTCGGAGAGTTAGAAGAAATCCGTGAGGGAGTCACTGTTCAGTGCCTGCAGAGAGTGAGCTCAGTAAATGTGAGCTATGACTAGTGATGAGGCTGTTCTATCTGCAATTTACAAAGCTGATAGACATGACCATATGCAATCTGCGTTGATATTATTTTAGTAAAGCCCGTAAAATTTCATTTCCCGTCGTAACGATCATTACATGGGATCCACCTGGAGATCATAAGCAGAAACTAGGCTTGACAGCACAGAGACAGTCGTGTGATGATGTCAAGACCGTTTCTAGATTCAGCCACCAGCAAGAGCGCTTTGTGTTTAAGAGCTGAGCGAACAGCAGCTTCTTTTAGCTCTTAAAGTTGATCCTTCCAACGGAGTCACATCGCTGAGCTTGGAATGGCGCCAGCGATCCGGGCTGCTAACAGAGTTATCATCAGAATCCAAGCTAAGGGAAATGACAAGTGAGTTATTAACTTTTTTTCCCCTCTGCCTTTCTAGTTAGGGTCTGGAAGGGCCTTCTTCCTTATTGAATACGACCTTTGAAGAAATGTAGTTTGCGTCTTTCCCAACGGAATCAGCTTTCGTATGGAATTCAATTTGCTGTATGTTTCTTTCTCTTCCGCTGAGTTTGAAAGGTGAGGTCAGGGCCCCGTGAATGTTTTGCTCCCGATAACCTATTTTTCTCTCTCAGCTCTCGTCGTAAATTGTATTATGGTAGGCCTCATCTCCTTGGCCAGGTCTTTTAACGTGGTCTGTTGTCAGATGTCCTGTGTGCCAAGAGAACATGGGCATCTCTGTCACCAGAGTGTGGTAGCATGGCTGGGGACCGCACCTTCCCTGCAGTTGGAGCCAGGCACTGTGGCCCGTTGAAGCCCCCCAAACAGCAGAACTGAACATTCCCAGGCAGAATTGACCTGCTTGTACATTCTCTGCAGCCTTGAGAAAGTCCCTAAATGCCTCTGGCTTTCAGATTTTTCATCTCTGATGCTATGAAGTGAGTGATCTCAAAAATCCCATCTAGCATTCTTCCTATGAACGGCGTGTTGTGCTAAGTTATGATTTGTGCCAGGGTTAAGGTTCTCTGGCCAAATAAATTTAGGAAATGCTTCTTACCTTATTCTTCTCTTACAGAGTTAACAACGCACACATGCCTATTAATGTCTCTGAGAAGTCCCGTGGTTAAGAAACCTGTCTAACGATGCACAATCAAGCATTTCTTGACTGTAGGTGAATATGCAAATAAAAGCGTTTTTTACTTATTAATTTTGCTGACTGATGACTGCTTTCCTGGGAAGAGTTTCAAGGGGTTCTGAGGGAGACACTTGTACTCCAGGTTCCTAAAGGACTGATACAAGGAAAAGAACACACAGCAGTATCTCTGATCTTGAAATGACCTTGTAGAAGTACTGTTGCCATGTTAATTAGAAAATCATTGTGCGTTTTAGTTTCTTATTATGTGTTCAGTTTATTTGTTTACTTTGAGAGGGACAGAGACAAGTGCGAGTGGGGGAGGGGCAGAGAGGCAGAGAATCCCAAGCAGGCTCCGAGCTGCCAGCACAGGGCTCGATGTGGGGCTCGGACCCACGAAACTGCAAAATCAGTACCTAAGCCGAAACCAAAAGTCAGACGCTTAATCAACTGAGCCACCCAGGCTCCCCTGTTGTTGAACATTTTACAACGTTTATTTATTTTTGGGACAGAGAGAGACAGAGCATGAACGGGCGAGGGGCAGAGAGAGAGGGAGACACAGAATCGGAAACAGGCTCCAGGCTCTGAGCCATCAGCCCAGAGCCCGACGCGGGGCTCGAACTCACGGACCGCGAGATCGTGACCTGGCTGAAGTCGGACGCTCAACCGACTGCGCCACCCAGGCGCCCCAGTTGTTGAACATTTTAAACAGTCTTTAAGCAGTTGGTTTCTGGATTCTAATAAATCACAACTATCGGAAGCCAAATCTGGGGGGTTCATGGCTTGGAAGGAACTACTTTATGGGCTAACTGTTCAAAACGCCAAAGTTTCAATACTGGATTGCCCCCCACCCCCGGCCAGCCTTGCGTTGCAAAAAGGAAAGAACCCATGCAAGTTGCTTTCAACTAGAGTCCCGGTTTGGCCCCAGAAAACAGGTCGCGCACGACACATGGTTTCTCCTCCCCCCCTTTCCTTTAAAATCCAGTAGGAATCAGAATCTGAGATTTCAAGAGAGTAGAAAAAACCAGCTTCCATTACATTTGAAACAAAGAAATGTAGTCGTGGGGCACCTGGGTGGCTCAGTCCGTTAAGCGTCCAACTTCGGCTCAGGTCATGATCTCGCGGTCTGTGAGTTCGAGCCCCGCGTCTGGCTCTGTGCCAACATTTCGGAGCCTGGAGCCTGCTTCGGATTCTGTGCCTCTCTCTCTCTCTCTCTCTCTCTCTCTCTCTCTCAAAAATAAACATTAAACAAAATTTATTTTATGCAGTCATGAAAGACTTTTGTTCCATCATTTGGTAGAATCCCAAGACACTCACCAAAACAACATTCGGGTGAAGCATGAAATCACAGTCATGAGAATGTTAGGCATTAGGCATAATCAGAAGATTTCAATCAATGTGACTGGCCTTTCGGCAGCAGCTGACAAAAGTCAGCTCTGCAGATGCCAAGCATTTTATCGGTGAGTGGTCCAGTTGTGATACCGTGTCTGGCGCCTGGTGCTTCGGCCAAGTCAGGAGGACATTATCAAAGGCACAGAGTTCCAGGCAGTGGCCTGGACTAGGAGGAGGGCCGATGGGGTAATCCAGGAGCATGGCATCTCCAGAGCCATTTCAAAACAAAACCAAAAAGCCACCTACACGAGGAAGAAAGTAAGCTGGGGACGTGCAGTTAATCAAACTTTGCATTGAAACAAGTGATCCTGTGGTCTTTCCTTCCAGTGGATAGATTATGGGCTTTCGATTAACCTGATATCTCCGAATGGGTGCTGGTGCCTGTGTCTTTATGACCGTTATTAAATGTTTACCCTCACGCTTAAAACAATTAGGCCAGTTTCCTTCCTCGTGGCCCCGAAAATGTATCCGACGCTGGGGATATTTATCCGAAGTGTCTTTTTCCATTTAAACTGTCTCCTCATAACGTTTCCATTTTGCAAAAGCCCTGGTGTTCAAAAAAGGCTGGACTGTGGGTGGCAGGTAATCCAACCCAGCATCAGGGCATTCTGGACTAAAGGGAAAAATGCCTCTTTCCTGAGCCTTTCCGGATGAGGTCATTGTTTTCAGACAGCCTGTACCTAATATAAACGGGCTCAAAGTCCATGGCTTGCCTCATACCAGTGTTTTGTCAGGGAACAACATCCAAAGCCACGAGGAATAGTCAGGCTGCTAGTAAAAGGAACCCCCCGGAGTTATAGTATTTTTGTTAAATCCTTGTATTTAAAAAAAAAGCAGTAAGAGCCCATCTGGTGAGATAATAATTTATTAAGTGAAAAAAGAAGGCAGAAGGCTTGGGAAGATCAATCTTTTCTCTCTTGGCCTCATGTGTTTGAGTTATTGTGAAGTGACGGGGACCAAAATCTGGATTCTGGATTGTGCAGAATGGAGGAAAATCCAAGGACTATTCCGGGCGTGTTTTAATGGTGGCTTCCCGGGAAGGATGGTTTTCTGCAGGTGTGATTTCAGGTGAATGGATGTGTTCTTAAGACTGGTCTTTAGAATTGGTAGGAGACAGAGCAGGGAGAAGGGGGTGAGGATTCTGTATGGGAGGAAGGAGCTAGAATCCTGCAGGAAGCTTCTCGTTCTTCCTGAGCTGGCTGCGGCACACCCTCTGGATGGCACACCCCTCTCTGGAGTCCAGCTCAGCCCACGAACTCCTGGGAGGAACGCCAGGGCGCCAGCCTTTCCTTTGAGGAGTGGATGTAGTCCTTCCGTGTGCCCAGCCACCTCGCGAAGAAAAGCTGAAATCTTAGCTCTAAGGTTTGTGCATGTAAATGACCTGGGAGCAGACTGAGTTCATGGATCCTCATCAAACGGTCGAAGACAACCAAGGTTTGTTTGACTGTTCATTTTGTAAACCTGGCCACATGTGCCGCCTGGGGTAGACCACGTCTTTAGAGATGGGGACAGGGGCGTCTGGGTGGCTTAGTCAGTGAAGTGTCCCACTCTTGGTTTGGCTCAGGTCACGATCTCACAGGTTTGTGGGATCGAGCCCGCTTTGAACTCTGCTGGCAGCACAGAGCCTGCTTGGGATTCTCTTGCCCTCCCTCTCTGCCCCATCCCCCGCTCACTCGTGTGTGTGTGTGTGTGTGTGTGTGTGTGTGTGTGTGTGCGCGCGCGCGCATACTCTTTCTGTCTCTCTCAAAATAAATAAATATTAAAAGAAAAGTAAAAAAAAAAAAAAGGGAGAGATTCAGGGACATTTCCATTGGTTAAAATAGTTTTATGCTTATTATAATACATGAATACTCTGTTTATGTGCATAACATGTTTTTGTATAAAATACATATATATTAATATAATGGGGTTTTACAACCAACATGAGTATTTTGTAGCAGGAATCCAGCTAAATTAAATTAACTTTAGATTGGTTTGTTGAAGCGCATTTTTTTTATTAAAAAAATTTTTTTATGTTTATTTAATTTTGAGAGAGAGAGAGAGAGAGAGAGAGGAGAGTGACAGAGCGTGAGGAGGGGAGGGGCAGAGGAGGAGGGAGACATAGAATCTGAAGCAGGCTCCAGGCTCTGAGCTGTCAGCACAGGGCTCGAGATCATGACTTGATAGAACGCTTGAAGACTGAGCCAACCCAGGTGCCCGGAGCACTTTAAAAAGAGCCCTTAGTGACTGTGAGTAAATCTGTGATTCCCCTTTCTGTTCCTGTACTCTCTTTTTCTTTTATAACCCATTTCCATGACAATACTTCTGTGTTAACCTAGCTTTGAGATGAATTCTTTCCTTTTTATGAAGCAGTTTTTCTGCCCCTGCCTGAGGCATGTAGGTGCTTTGATTTTGGAGGCCATCTCTAGAAAGCTTCCCCTTACGGTTGTGTTTTGTGGGAGTTTGTTCCCCAGTGAGGCTGGCTTCAGGAGTGACCCAGCTTATCCTGATCAGCGTTGCCAGGGACTGGCAGACAACTCCCCAACTTCAGAGGCGGCCCGACACAATCTTTTGGGCTGCTCCATCGAAACCAGCAGACTGTGTCGATTCATTTGATGCTTCTTTTGAGGCTGGACCCCTTAAGATAAGGGATGGTGACTTATTTTGGCTTCTGGCGAATAGGCTGGTGGGTAAATCCGTGGAAGGCAGATACGCCCTGGACCCTCCCACCTTCACTTGTGATCACGCTGCTCTTCTCGGTTTACCAGGCCCTCCAGTGAGCTTGGGTTTGCCTTCCTACCCAGGACAGGTGGGACCGGGGAGCCCGGCCACGTTGCACTTCACAAGTACACTCTTGTTGAGACACACACAGGGACCGCAGGTTGGCACACTCTATACGTGATGAAGTGTTCGTGCTGGCTTCTTGTGCCGCGAATCTTTCTCCGGCAAATGAACATTATTTTGAAAGACGGCGCTGACTTAAAAATCTGGAAATGTTTCATATTCTTTACTGACCTGCCTTAGACCTTTACTGGGAAGACAAAAGTGGACACACATCAGAATAAGAACGTTTAAAGCTGACAGCGGGCGGTAAGCCAGCTGTGCCAAAACTAGTTCCCCCTAGGGTAACATCACCTGATGTCACAAAAGGCCCCTAAATTCTTGGGTAATCTCTGGGCTCTCCTCAAAGATAGAATCTAAATGCTAATGATGATACCGTACATATTAATGAGTATTAATGTATTACTAGTATTCAGAGTTGGAAACTAGGATTCTATCCCTTCTCCTAAGCGAAAGGGATAAAATTAGAAGATCTCAAGATGTCTGCATGTCTCTATTTGAATGAACTTGAAGCCCTCTGTTTTCCCTGGACTGTAAGAAAAGTGGATGTTAGTTTTGATTTCCAGGAAAGATAGGGCAGGTTTTAGAAAATCTTACGTGATAGAGAGATTATAAGTAAACAGAGTGAGCCATATATCTGATTATATTTTTTGAGGTCAAACTGGCGGGAGGGGTGGGGGGAAGAAATTTCTTCAAAAGAATTTCATTTCTTTTTTCCTTTTTTTGACTACTCTCTTTCCACTCCATGGCATATTTTTAAGGGATTTGGAGTCTTTCCACTTGCTGCCAGCTGGAATTTACAGAAAGTGTATCTCTAGAACACTCAACAGTTGACTTGAATCTCGGTCATAATTAAATTGGAAGGTTGGCAGATTATTCTGAGACTCAAAAACAGGCACACCTTATGTTTGAAACAGAAGGAGTTTCACTACTCTGCATTGTTTTAAAAGTGTTCTCCATTGGGAAAATTGATAATATACTTTAATTACCTATTTTTTAAAGAGAAGGATATTCTGAATGGCTATGTAACGAACAAGTTTAACCATGCTTAAATTTTGTCTCTTATTCTTGTAGCTGGATCCCTCCCTGATGCTTTAAAGTTTTAACAAAGCTTTCCCTGCCCACCCATCCCTCTTTAATAAGAGTACATCACCCTGTCCTTTCTCTCCTGGCACACCTTAAAAGCATTAGCTAGTTAGATGACTTGATTTACTACCTTCTGCTCTAAACGATATGCTTACAGCTGGTGTTTGCATACAATTAATAGTACTTTAGGCATTGGAGACACCCAGCCTTCTCTTTTGTATTAAAAT